TTGTTATTCTTTACAATAAAGGACTAGTTGACATTTATCAAATTAATGCACACACACACACACACACAATTTTGACTAGGTGATAAACCTGATTGATAAGTTAGGCACATCATTTCTCCAAAAATAGTTTGGCCTCTTCATTTATAAGTAGAACGTCAGTTCTGTAGTAATAGTACTTAAAGGATCAATAGCAAGAGGGTTTCCCACTGAGACTCATTTCTTCCCTTATAATGAACAATGCTGCTGATGACTAAATCATTGCCCTTCATCTCAAAGATGATTTCCTTTTCTCTCACTCTTTCTTAATAATCAGATCTATGTTGAGACCAATGTGAGCTTTAAAATCACAAGTTGGCATGGAAAAGTTTTTGTGGAGAGTTAAACTCTGACATATAGGGGACATATAATGGCCTTTTTTGGTTACAAGACCATGGAGAACCATGGTGAGATAGATTCTGTGTTCTCAGAATTGATGTTCATTCTGTAGCAGCTTTTCTCTCTGGTCTTACAAATTCTTTTATATCTTAAAATTAATTATAAGCACTGCCAGCCAAAAGTCCTCTAAATAAAACTTAAAGTAGATGTATTATCTCTTTCTCTTCATGAGAAAATTCTTAAAAATTACATTTACTGGGCTGGAGGTGTATCTCAGGGGTAGAGCACCCACATGGTTTATGCTAGATCCTGGGTTTAATCCCAAGCATTGCAAAAACCAAAGCTTACATTTAATCAACTTGGCTGATGCATGGCTCTTTGTTGTCTTTGTCCAAATATTTTTTGATTGAACTGCATTATTGTATAAACAAATTATGAAACATTTGCGCTGGTAATTGAGAGATTACTTAGTCAATTTCTCATCACTGGTCAATGCCTGACAATCACAAATTAAAGGAGGATGTTGCCAGGCTTGGTGGTGCATGCCTATAATCCCAGCACTTGGGAGGCTGAGGCAGGAGGATCCTTGCAAGTTCGAGACCAGCCTGAGCTACAAAGTGAACTCAAGGCCAGCCTGAACTGTATAGCGAGACCCTGTCTCAAAAAGACAAAAAATAAAAAAATAAAAATAAATAAAGGAGGATGTCTTGCCTACTTTTTCTCTTGTTGCTGAGACAAAATACCCAACACCCATAATGAAGGGAGGAGAGGTTTATTTAGCTCACAGTTTGAGGAGGTTTCAGTCCATGCTCGGCCAGCTCCAAGGTGACACATCAGGGGCAACTGTTCACGGCCATGGAAAACAGCAAAAGCAGCCAGAGCAAAAGGGAGGAGGAGTAGGGGCAAGCAGCCTCTTTCTCGCCCTTACATACGCAAACTATCTGCCGCAGGGCAGGTGTAGCACTCACACCCAGGAATCAAAAACTCTAAAAACCCGCCCCAGGACTGCATGAGGCTTTGGGGGAGCATCCAGACACAACCCATAACAGAGAAGTTTATTTTGGCTCAAGTTTACAATCCATGGTCAGCTGTCTCTAAGAACAGACAGCGTGGCAGATGGGCATAGGGGAGAAGCTGCTTAAGTCCAGGAAACAGAGACAGAGGGGAGAAGCCAGTACACACACACTTCCAGGTCATACTCCCAGTAACTTGTCTCTTCTATCCAGACACTGCCTCCAAACAGCCAGTCAGCTACCTGGAGCCCATCATTCAATCACCTTCCAAAAGCCCCACCTATGAGCTCATGAGGCTCTTGGCGGATCTCTAGATATAAACCATAACCATCACTTTAGAATCTATATTTAAATATTGGGAGAGTCAAGCTCTAAAGGTCATTGCACTTGTTTTCTTTTAATATTTCCTTTCATCCCAATCAGAATTAATGTTACCATTAACATAAATAATGCAACATGTGATCCAAAAACATTGAATGTTTATTTTTAATTACAGTAAGAGATACATTGCTATTCATCTTCAAAGCACTCATCCTCATGGATGTCTTTAGTTGAGCTGTCCTGGCTGCCTCAATGTACTGAATCAGTTCAGAGCATTCACTACCTTTTGTGGTCATTTTGACTTTGGAGAAGAGCCAGAAGTCCCATGGTGCCAGGTCCAGTTGATGCAGACATACCCTAATGTTTTTACGAGCCTTCCTCTCCATTGGTTGGTGGTAGTTAGCAGCTGAAAGAGGACTTCCAGAACTGCTTCTGAATGTGGTAGGGATGATGGGATAAATCTGTTTGAAGTAAGGAGAGTTAGCTTGAGGGAGATTAATGACAACACGTCTTTTACTGTAATTTTTTTAAAATTTAAACATTCACTGTATATTTTGATCACCCCCTTACATAGCAAAGTGCCTTTTTAACTTAGTCATCTAAATTTGGATAAAGGTTCCATAAATCATACATAATGGTAAAACTATTGAGGTCCTCTTTTCACTTCCTTTGATGTAGTAGGTTGCCATGCTAGTATACAAATATATATTCAGGAATGCTTGGTGACATTGTGGCTTTTAAAAAATGCTTATAGAAAGTGAAGATCAGAGAAAAAGGAGAAAAGAAAATAAAGATTAAGAACAAATTTTGGTGTAGGGGCACAGTTCAGTGATAGAACACATGCCTAAATTGTACAAGTCCTTGAGTTCAATCCCTAGCACCAAAAACTTTTTTTTTTGTTAACCTAAGATGTTCCTGCATCAGATTAATTATGTTAATTGCTTATATTTACTTTTAGTCTTTACAAAAATCTTTTTATTTGAAAAAAACTCAGTTTCTTTCAGACCAGTTCTTATTTAGCTCCTCGCAAATTCCATGTTACAGATAATGTTATCACCAATTTATACTTAAAGCAATTGTCTTTGAGTAAGTAATTTGAGTAATTTGCCTATGTCAGGGAATGCAGCCAATATCCAAAAAGCCCATATAGTCTCTTTATGTTTTCCCTCTAAAGTTGAATTTGGAAGTTGTTCTTCTATTTCTTCTTTCTAGAATGAAAATTTTCATAGTCATATATGAACTTTTTACATGTGAAATTAGTAAGGTAGGTGGGGAATTTTTATTCTAAAAGTTCACTGTGCTCAAAGTATAATTTATCTTTTCTCCAAAAGTGACTCCTTCAGTTAATGGTACCATTAAATCTTACCATCGTAACTTACTCCTCCCTTCATCTCCTTTGCCTCTCCATCCCTTATATATGTGAGTTATCAGGATTTATCAGTTTTACAATTATGTAATATCGCTTATGTCCATTTGCTTTTTTGTACTTTTTTTTACCCTAGTGAGGCCTGTATCCTCTCTCCCTGTTGAATCATTGCAGCAGTAGCTAGCTAGTTTTGTCAGTTTTAGTCCTTTCTTTGATCTTAACAACTGTTGCCAGATTAATCTGTATTAAGCACAGTGCTGATGTTAAACTTCCGCTGAATTATCATATTGTTGTTCACTGCCAAGCGTTTACAGTTTTTCACAGTGTATCCCTAAACTCATGTTATTTCATCTCCCACATTTTCTGGATTTGTGCTCTTTCTCTTAATCAGAAATTCATAGCCATGCTTTATATAGTTAAAATACAACTTCTAAATAGTGTCGATTGGTGTAGATTATAAATGAACTCCTTGGCTCTTAATCTATACCTCTTTTGAGGTCCTTATTAGTTTCCTACTAGTTGAGGATTTTTTCAGTTTAATGTTTTTCAATTTAATGCCTTCCCAATTATTAGTTTATAGAGAACAAGAACCGAGTTGTATTTACTTCCACAATGTCTTTTCTAGTATTTTGTGTATAAGAGGTACTCATTAAATATTTTCTGATTGATTGGATAAATAAATCTTAAAAACAGATAAAGGAGGCTAGAGATGTATTTCAGTGGTAGCACACTTGCCTAGCACATGCAAAGCCCTGTATTCAGTCCCCAGTGCTGAAAAAAATGTCCAGATACATGATATTGTATTTTATTATACATAGGATGAAGGTGACCAAGCAGCAAGTGTCGAAGAGCTAGAAAAACAGATTGAAAAACTCAGTAAAGTAAGCACTTTTCAGATTAATGTTTGTTTTCTTTGGAGTGTTTTAAAAAATCTATATTGTATGAGGTTAGTTTTTCTGACTGCTAAGTAAAAACAGGCTTTGAGTAATTAAAATGAACTGTAGAAACAGTCTCACAACTAAATCTTAAAATTTCATTGCCAAGCTTAAATGCCCACCTCTTAAGACATGATATTGGATCTAATTAGAATCTATAAAGAAAAGGTTCTATATTCTTCAGCTTTTTGTATAAATACGAAGTATCAATAAAGGCATGATTTTATTTAGTTGAGTTTCATAGCAATAGTTTCAATATCCTAGGTTTTATTTTATATTTGTTTATATGTGGATTTTGTCTTGAATTTATAAACAGTAAATATTTATATACCTCCTAAAAACTCAATTCAGCACTATTGGTAAAATTTAAGATAAGCTTTTTGAAAGAAGAAATGAGTTTTTAAAGTATTATGAGATGACTGTGTATTGTGTAAATGTTTGGTTCACACATCTATCTCAAATTTAGTCATTTGTTGCCTCAGTGTATAGCATCGGTATAAAAATAGGCAAATAAAGACTTGATAAATTACGTACATACTATTGGTTATTTAACCAATGGAATGGAGCCAGTTTGCTTTGGCTCAATAAAATACTTGTTCATATATAAGATCATGTTTTATATGTTTAAAACATGATTTACTATGAGCTACCTGATAAAATGAAACTTGTACTTTTATTCCTTGGCAGTAAAAATATTCAGCTTATCCTTAAAATGATTTGTCTTTATATATATCACTAAAATTGAAGTCAGGAACGTAATACTATCTTTCCCTCTTAGTGAAATTTATCTACTCTGAAGACATGTGTAAAGTCAACTATTTGTTAATTTTTAAAGCAATTATAATTCTTAACTTAAATATGATTACTTTTTTAAACAGCAACAGAGTCAGTACAGAAGGAAGCTCTTTGATGCCTCTCACTCCTTACGTTCAATGATGTTCGGCCAGGATCGTTACAGACGCCGATACTGGATTCTTCCCCAGTGTGGAGGGATTTTTGTAGAAGGCATGGAAAGTGGCGAAGGTAGGAACTATTAATCTGTTACAAAATATCCAGTGTTAAATGAGAGCCTATATATTTTTTGAAGTCCTCTTACCTTTTCAGTATATTTTGTGCATCCATAATCAAGTGTATTGGGAGCTGATCAGTCTCCCAATCTTATGGATGACCATATGGTGGAGGATAAAATTAAAGAGACAATGCAATATGGTTTGTGTGGGTCTAGAATGGTCAAAGCTCTTGTGGCTAAGGTAAAAATCAGTTTGGAGATTCTTTGCACTGGTCAGTATTTATTGGGTCCTTAACATATCAGGGGGATGCAGAAAAGTCCAGGGAATAGCTGAGGCAAAAGGCACAATAATGAGCAAGGCCTTGACAGAGTAAAACAAAGACATTCCGAGGAGTAAATCTTGGCTTAAAGAAAGAACTGTTTGATCTCTAAGACTGGCAGTATTCCCCTTGAAAATGTGAGGCAGAATCAGCACCTGTAGCTGCCGTGTCATCTTGTCTTCAGAGGCGTCACAGAGTCACAGACCACTATAGGTCTCTACTGTGACTGCTGGCACAGAGCTCTATTTCTGCCTGCCAGCCGCTGGTTCCTCAGGTAAGTCACTTAGGCCTGGGACAGACTCATAAGTTAATATAGAAAACCCAACTGATTAGTTCTAAAGCCTGCTCATCACCACTTCAAGGTGGTCTCCACCAAAGTGTACTTTATTATTAAAATTGTAAAATCTTCATTCCTATTCCTTTTGAACTCACAATGCTCCTTTTGTGAATAATGACTTGTTCCCTGCCTATAGTTTTTCTTCTGCCACACTTTCTTTTTTTTTTATTTTAAAAATAAAAGGAGGAAAACATTAACAGACAGACAACTTTTTACAAAATAGCAAAAGAACAGTACAGATGATACAGAGTTACAAACAAAGTAGTAGGAAATTAACAATGCTTGTTGTGTTACATATTGGTATCTTCAAAGTAGTTTCTTAGGAAAACAGATAGAGACATGCAATACTGATCAATCAAGGACTCATTGACAGTTTCTTTCAGCAAAGAAATAGAACACAGTAGAACAACTATGTTAACTATCCTGTATATACATACATACAAAATTTCTCCTTCTTTCCCTTCTCTTTTCCCACATCCCAGTTGCCCTTTACCCTTTAGTGTTTTCCTATCATTTCACAATGTCTGTCATACCTCCGAGTTTAAATTAACTCTTTCAGGTTTTACATTACTGAAACAATGCGGTGCTTGCACATGCAGGTCTGATTTATTTCACTTATGAGTATGGTCTCTAGTTGTGACCCTTTACCTATTAAAGCCTCGAGTTTATCTTTCTTTATAGCTGAGTAATATTCCATTATAGAAAAGTACCACAATTTTCTTATCCAATCCTCAGTGGATGGGCATTTGGGTTGCTTCCACAATTTAGCAATTACAAATTGCGCTGCTATGAACATAGGCGCACATATATCACTGTGATATGATGATTTTAGATCTTCTGGGAAAATACCCAGCAGGGGGGTAGCTGGGTTGAATGGGACCTCTA